AGACACAGACGGCTCGCGGGTGGCGAGAGTGAATGCCAGCGCGGAGAGCGGTCAACATCGGTCCAACGTCGCTCCAATATCGGTCCAACGCGACGGTTGACCCTGCTTATAAGTCTCCTGTAAATCCTACGAGGATGAATGGGAGAGCACACAGGGGGTAGGAGTTGGGTAGGAGTCTTCTCCAGTGAGCCGGTAGTTCACACTTCAGAGGCAGTCAAATCAATGGCGGGCGCTCATGTCGTTGGGAAGGGAGGCATTGAAGTGAGTGAGCCACTAGTACTGAGCTTTAGGGAGGAGAAAAGGATTCTGGAGAGAGGATGTGAGCAACTATTGTTCTCCCTGGCGTTTCTCCCCTTCTCTGGGCTTAGTCCTAGTGCCACCTACCAGCAGTTTTGAACGCCCTGTTTTGAATGCCCTACCCCCCTCAACCGTCGAAACGAACTTCGAGAGGTCACCACCACCTACTTCACGGACGTGGAGCAGGTTGCAACGGTAGCGTACTTGGGATATGATACCGCTATCATTATTGTCCATGATTTGATTCTGAATGCGCCTCATTCCGAGCATCCGTATCTTCTTATCTTATCGTATCGCATCTCTCATATAGGGTGAAACTCGCCCAACTGTTCTTATCTCAGCTCTTGTGTCCTTCTTTTGTGAAGCATGGGACTTGCTACTTAGCGCAGCCGCTTCCTATAAAGGCACGGATCGCGCTCCGATTCTTCGTTGAATTCTCTCATCGAGTGTGGTAGCAGGACTTCTGGTGGAGTAGGAATCATATGGGTGGTAGTAGACGCGAATCAAAAGTGCGGGCAAAGAAGCTAGCTCCCCCTACCCCCTGATCCGCGCGAATGCTGCCATTTTTACCAAACGCACATAGGTGGCGTCTGCGCCCTCTCCTGTACGACATGCTCTCCCGTGTTTTCCCACTCCTCGCTGCGCTATCTCTCCGCCATGCTTCGTCGGCTTTACAGGGAAAAATCCAGTACAGGAAAAAATTCAGTGTATCCTATGATGATTTTTCCTCGCTCACCTTCCCCTTCACACTTCTCGTCTAATTTTGAACGAAGTAACACACCAATTCGATCGCGACATTGACGAGCTACGGGAACCATTAATGGCTCCCGTAGCTGTGAAGTTACTGATGTCGGTAAAAAGGGCTCCCACGTCAAAGGATTCCATAATGTAGGTGTGTTTACATGCACTCTACGTGCGTCCCCCAATATTCGAGGAAAAACGACACTCACTTGAACCAAGTTTTTGTAGACGATTAAGCCATATGCCAAGGGATAATCGCGTTCTTCTTGTGACACCGGCTTTCTATCGAAACCAAAAAGACTACGAATTGCAAAACACCTGAAATCATTGAACTGTAGCGAACGGCAACTTATAAGTTGTCACTGCACATCCAGTAGCATTTCGTAGCTTCTGCTTATCTATTTATATGAATCTGGTTGTCCCTTAATTAGTGAATCACTTTGGGCATTTTTCAATTTTAATTTTTTCTTTTCCATGAAGCGACACGTCTCTGTATATCTACAAATAGGTAATTGTCCTATGGTGAGCATTTAGTCGTTGTCTTTCACTAGAATTCCAGAAGTATTGATCAGAAAGAATGGACTTTGATATTGAAGTCATGTCAATTCTATAGCGTAGAAATTCTCTCTGATGAAAGATGCTATAAAGCTCGACCAGGTTGTTCGTGATAATGAGGGTAGACTACACGGCGAAGAGGAAATTGCTAGTCTACAGGTCCCATTGAGTAATCTCCCAGGTTGGTTGAGTGACTCTCGATAAAAACCCAGATTTTGTTTGATCTCACTTCGATTGTAAACTAATCTTATATTATGCTAAGGAGCGTTTGTCTTCACTGGACAGCTAGTATTACTGAGCAAGTAGATTATCCGCAACGCAAGTCCTTGTGAGCTCCACCAACATCTCAAATAGAGGAAGAGATAAAATGTCGAAGTGTGCATTTGGTAATGAGACATAAAGACATAGTATAGCGTTTGCGCTGATCTCGAATAGTTCTATCGAATCTATGCAACCGATGTCTCCTGGACTAAGTAATGAAGTGCGTTGAGTGGATTGCGCAGCCTGTGACGAAGCCCAAGAGTCTTGAGATAAAACTCTTGGCGCGTTCTCCCAAGCTGCCTTTTCTTAGAAAACATGTTCGATAGGAATCTGTGCATTTGGTCATTAGCGATTGCATTATAAAGTGGAGTACTGGCGAAATGAGTTATGAATACTGGCGTGTGCGTGCACTTGCAATGAGGTCGCTGTCATCTCGTAAAGCACATGCGTAATATGCCTTTTCTTTTCCGAATAGATGTGGTTTCGTGTTTACAGCTCACCAAGTAATCTCCTTGCGACACTTCTTGACCTAATGACCAATTTTGACTAAAGTTCGACACTATGAAAGCACGACGACAGAATGAAATGACGTGCATGAACGGTCTGCACAGCTCTTTACATTATAGAAATAGGCGTCGATTGTATAATTTAGCATGCATAAGAGTCCTTTGAACAATGTTTTCAAGAAAAGCAGCTGAAGAACTCGCCAAGAAGTCGATCTCACGACCTCTTGCTCGTCGTCCGGGCCGCTGCCACTGCACTATCGCGCTTCATAACTACGTCCAGAGAATCGTTTCGCAGATTTGGAGAACATATTCGACATCAGCGCTCAAAAACACATCTAGTAGGTATATAGCCTCGTTACAGAATGGCTACTTCGACCTGGTATCCTTCGCTTGTCAGAAGTGTCGGACATACAGGTCCGACAGAGGTGGTTGGGCTTTTGCTGTCAGAACTCCCGAATCTTTTAAGCTAGGCTACTGCTCCTTGTGAATTTGCTAGCACACTCCACCCACTTCACAACACTGGTGAATACGCAGGATGATCACTGAAAGGAACTCTGGGAAACCAGAGGGAACATGGCGATTTCATATCGTGTTTGGGGAAAGATTCCAGAAAAATTGAAGTTTCAGCCTCGGAAGGCAACATGTGAATGGGCTGACTAATTGCAGGTAGGACAATGTGGGTACTACTTGGCAAAACATGTTTCACGCCTTCACCATTTTTCTTGGATTTTTATAACAATAAATGTAAAGTGATTCACTAATTATGGGACAACCTAATACATACTCGATTCACTCCTTATGTGATGATAACTTATCAGCTTGCACCAACATGTCGCTCTTTTCGCAGCTTTGTAACTGGGGCGTGCGGCAATATATTACTTTTTTGGACTACACAATCCTCACAAAGATCGTGGAGGTAATCAAGCCAAAACATGGATGGGAAAACACCGCCTGACTACTTGTAATGCAAGCTGAAAGCGGATTTACTCTAAAGGTGCAGCCAAAAAAACCAAGATGGAGGTGTTAGTGATGCAGGAATGAAGGAAAACCCATGAGAAACGGCCCAGAACCCGAGAAATGGGACCCCTTCCTTTGCCCGTTGATTTCCGCATTGATGCGACTCTCATCGGTGCTGCCCTCTTCAACGCTAACGCTCTCTCTCTGCTGAACGGCTAGAGTCAGACGGCGAGAGGATGGGCGTGCCGCAGCGCGGGTACGCCCTGTTAGGCCGCCGAAAACATTCTCTTCGCTGCAACGCCCATTTTACCGCACCTTTGAGGTGACCGCCTGGTTTGTGATTGGTCTATTTCCTTTTCGCGGCCTCCAACTTGTTGTGTTTCCCCTTCCTCGGCCCCCGACCTTATTGTGGAATGCTCCATTGAAGGCAGTACGATGCTGGAAGGTGAAGCGCTTTCGGTGATGTCATTGGGCATCGTTGGCGAAAGGCTTTGAGGGAATGTTCCCATCACAGCTCCTGGCGCGCTGAATGGCGCGGGCGCTAGTCCATCAATGGCGTATGATTGCGTCATCCAGTTCCATTGTATTCATTGCCTACAAGGGCAATTGCAAGCCTAGTGTAATCATACTGTTCTAGTCTCTATAAGATTTCTCCGTCAAGAGATTTTCTGATGTAAGGTCTCGCGTGGTCGCAACACGTGAAACTTACGCGAGCTTCAAAGTGTAAATGCAGCAGCGGTGAGCATAAACGCACCTATCATCAGCATCTAATAAAAGCTTCTCCACGGCGAATGTATTATATTGCATGAGTTTGGCCTCTTGAACAACATTGTGGTTGTTATGGAGTAACCCATCACAGTCGAGCTCTGAAATTTGTTTTTACACAAGTGGGAACGAGGCTTTCATCAGGTGTTAAAGCAGCAACCTCAGATGGATCCACACTTTTGCTACCAATGGAGTTGAATGACGAATGACCCCTAGTCGAGAACATATGAAAAGTCACCAAAGCAAAAACAGACATTGGAAAGGAACTATGATGGGTTGGATAGTGCCATTTTGGAACGTTCCGCCTTTTTGGTCTAGCGCCTATATGCTAGCCGTGGGATCACGTGATTGGCTGGCGCAGCAGTGTGGGTCTAATTCAAATACGTCGGTTATTGGAGCCATATGGAGCAAGCAAGTTCAGAAACATCGTCCGCAGCCGTGCCTTTCATATTGTAAGAAGAAGAGGGGAGGTGAACGGCTTCATCAGCGATCTATTACGGTTCTTTTTTTTCAATTTCAGTCAGTTCGGCATCCATGTTTCACTATCGGTTGCTGTTACCGCACCAATTTTTGACCTGGGGTTGTTGCTTTAAGGTGCACGGGCATTGCTTACCATTCGGTCCAAGAGATCAGCGTATTCCATGTGATAATATGGTTTGAGTAGGCGTGTTCTAAAGTAATAAAGAGTAAGTTGTAGTATAAAGATTGGATAAAAGCGGAGTATGGAGCGTTCATAGTTGGCGATCGTACGTGCGATTAGGCGATTAGGCGAGTAGGCGATAAGAGGAGGATACGTATTGATTTGTTGCTCCGCCCATTGAGCGATCGCCTAATCGCCTAATCGCCTACTCGCCTAATCGCCTACTCGCCTACTCGCCTAATCGCCTAATCTATACGTATATTTTTCATTATAGACTAATCGCCTAATCGCCTAATCGCACGTACGATCGCCAACTATGAACGCTCCATTAGCGGGAATGAACTTACACGTAGCTCCACAATAGATGCTTGATAAGGAACCAGAAGCAACATCCGTAGATCAGCAATAGGATGACTTTGTAGATGCTGAATCTCTGATGTTGCATACGCCTCTGAAATTTATGCGACCTTAGAATGGGAGAAGTTTGTTAATTCTTACACAAAATGAGGAAATTCAGAAAAAACTCTGTATGGAGAAAAGTTCAACTACTGGAGAATACCGAAATAAAGTCGCAATTTTGTACCCCATGGTATCCTCGAAAGTGCACCGCACTGGACCATTGACGGGTTTGTTCCAGTAAGGAGGACGGGGGACGAGAAGGGGGGCATCCGATGCAGAGCATCATCCAAGACATTTAAAACTCTATGGAAACCCTTGCCAGGGTTTCATCCAGTAGATCGGTGTCAGATTGCAAATCCAATAAGTTGCTAGCGAACTGCGGGGTACGAGCAATGCAACCGCAAGGGTCCGACAGGAGGCCCGTCGCACGGCGAGAAGGCAGTGCAGACGGTCCAGCGGACGAGTCATAGCGCGTGCTATGTGATGTGGGACGTACTATAGTACATTCTATCAAATTTGACGCAAAATCGCTGCAGTACGCGCTGCGACTCGTCCAATGACCCGTCTGCACCCTGCCTTCTCACCGCGCGACGGGCTTCCTGTCGGCTACCCAGTATGAACGCTGCTTTAGCGGTTTGAACGAATCAGTGATTGATGGGTGGGGAGTGAGCGTCTCTCCCGTGCCCACGTTAACTCTCGCTACTTTCCTGGGCTCATGAGGGCATGAGAGCCCGGGAAACTGGCGAGAGTCGGCGGGAAAGTGGTGAAAGCCCCTCTTGAGCACGTGGACTTTCCCACTTTCCCTCCGACTCTCGCCATTTTCCCGGCCTCTCAGGCAGTGCGGATATCTGTCGAGGATTCCTCAACGGCACGTCGAGGA